CTCTTGAGCTAAAATCACTGAATTCAGGTGTTTTTCTGTAATGTTCAGGAAATTTTCAGTCAGACTTCTGACAAAATTATTATTTAGTACATTTTGTTTATTCTTACTTTTCAGTTTTGTGTTATTTGAATTACTAGTGTCAGTTTATTTTTTTTTATGGGAGATTATGTAAACTTTCAAGCCCAGCTGTATGTTGACAGGAAACCAAGAAGTCATCAACATTTTATGATTTGCATGTAATGTAATGTAATTAATGCCTTTGATTTTTTTTGTATAGTACCAGTACAAAAGTGCAGAGTACACACACATAAAAATATATATATATATATATATATATATATATATATTATATTGTATACTGTACAATATAATTATAGGTTTGTAGAACTTTTTATACAGAGATTTAATTTCTTTCTGAAATTGTGTTTGACATAAACTGTTGTTTATTCCTAAATAAAGGGTATTGTTGATACAGTTTAAACAATTATAAATGAATGTATCTACTCTTCTTTACAAATAAAATCAAATTCACTAATGGTTAACAAAAGAGATTCTTTTGTGACACGAATGCAATATTGTGACACGAATGCAATATTGAAGTAAGTTTATTATTAAGAACAATTAAGTTGTTTGTGTAAAAATGCATGTGCTGATGAAAAATAAAAAATTACTCTGGCCACATTATAAGCACGTCTGTAGAAAAACGTTTCAATTCAAAGGAGGGATTTACCTGCGCACACGTCAGAGGTTTCTTCCTGTTAAAAGGGAGTTTTTCCTCTCCACTGTTACTACAAGCATGCTTACTGTGAGGGTTTGCCTTTGAGTGAATGAGTCGATATAATCAAATGGTTTTCCTTAGATAAGAAACTTTAAACCAATCTGACTGTATGATCTGGTTGAATCATCTGTAAAGTGCCTTGAGATGACATGTGTTGTGAATTAGCACTATATAAATAAACTGAATTGAACTGAATTAATTGCGTAGTTCAAGGCCAGTAGTTACAATTATTTCAAACATCTAACCCTTAGATTCCCTCATCAAAACCACTTCTCTTTTTAATTTGCTGTTGTTCCTTCAGGCCTTAACTGATTTATTAGATCAGTTTTTAGACCTGCTATCTGACATAGTGTAAAAAACTGACAAGATCCTTATAGTTTGAGATACTTTGACTTTGGACAGCGACCCTCGGACCGTGTGCTGACTTATGGCTTTGACTATAATGAAATAATAGTATTTCCACACAACCCTGTCCCATCTGACCACTTTTTAGTAATCTTCAAATTTAAATAAATGGAGTTATCACCCAAATTAAGGTTTCATTATCACATAAAAAAGTTATATATTATATATATTTTTTCCTTTTTTTTCTCCTCTAAGTATCAAAGAACTACATTGCAGAGGGGAGTTATTTGATTTATTCCCCTTCACAAATTTATAGGCCGCTTCAATGACAGGGTTTTCATTCTCTGAATGTTGCTTTAAACAACATAACCCTCACTGAGCTGCATTCATAGAAGCAAAACACCAGGAAACTGACGGAATCCTACTTAATCTGAAAAAACAACAACAGTTTACTGATATAAAAATGACCCCTTTTACAACAAAACAAGTGTGATTCTCTTCATTAACAGAGGAGAATAAGAACAATCCTAGGTTTATTTTTAAAACAGTTGCCAAACTCACACAGTGCATAGCCGTGTTGAGCTGTCTATTTTCCTAGCTCTAGGCAATAATGATTTAATGGGTTTCCTTAAAAGTTAGATTGATTCTATTAAAGATAAAATCACTGGCACTCTTCCACAAATGCACTGTAAAGTACCCTGGGTTGACATGTGTTTTGAATTTCCACTATATGAATACACTAAACTAAGTTGAGTAACAAGTCAGACTTAGTGGCTTCAACAGCAGGAGTTCCCATGAATGCTTCTCCATACAGCTGAGAACAGGAAGCTGACGCTACAACTCACACAGAGTCACCAACATTTTATCACAGATTGGAAAATCCTTTCATGATGTGGTAAGTTTCAGTTCCACAATTTTAGGGTCAGCAACTTGAATGACTTACTGGTGGTGGTTTTGTCATACTCTGTTGGATATTTTCTTGCCATGCTTTGGGGCCATCAGTAGGAGTTGATTGCCAATCTATCAATGCCGCTGCACTGATGTTGACCATGGCTATCCCTTTATGCCCTTATTGCTCTTATCTTCTGATGGCTATTTCCCAAATGATAATGTCACATAGTGAAATAATGATTTCAGTCTTTATTTAGTGGCTTCGACATACCTGAAGGAAGTGCGTGACGCTGTTAGGAGAACATGTGGATTTATGCCCCATGAAGTTCAAGCAATTCTCAACTATATTTGATTCTCCATTTTTGTTAAATGAGACCTTTACCACCTGTCCATCCAATGTCTAAGCCATTCTATCCTCATAGAGTGGAGGCTGGTGCTTCTCTCAGGCATCAGAGATTACTCTGGAAATTATTGGGCCACGCAAGTGATAGATGGGATGAGATAACGATAGATCTGTGTGTCGTCTGTCATTAAAACCCAACAGGACCACTTTAGTAAGTGAAATATTTATATTGATTTCATGCTAAATGATATCAATTTTATCTCAATGGATCTTTTATAACATTTGAACAATTTAACACACTACAGTATTTACTTCACAGTGATTGAAACATTTTAAATCATATTAGCATGAAAAATAATATTTCAAAATGACTATGGATTGACAATGACCTGGATTACTGAGAAACTTCACCAGCATAAAGTTATAAAATGTTTAATGTCAGCAGATTGAGATGTAAAAAACATCTTATGGTGATGCTTAGAGAAGCAGATTCTCTTCTGTATCAAATGTTTCTGTAGGAGATAGAAAGATTAGGCCTGTTCGTTTCATTAAACCCATTACGACTGCAAGATGTACTTTCAGCTGTTCATAAGTAAGTTTTGGTTTCAAGTAGAGATGTTCCAATACATTATTTCTCTCCTGATAGGATTCTGATGCTTTTGCTGTGAGTATCGGCCAATACCAAGTACCGATAGCAGGATGTTACAAAAAATATATACAGTCATACTGCACCTGCACCTGTGATTGATTATCATCTTGGTAAGGCCTAGCGGAGCTTAAACCTTTGAATGGAAACATGAATGAATACAGCAAGTTTAAGCCATTTATTTTTTGAATAGAGAAAAAACAAAAACAGTAGTACTAGTAGTAATGGCAAGCTCCGTCTCCGTCAGGTGATCAACTCTTCTTCACAGCAAGCAACAGGTGGCAGCACAGCACAACTGGTTTAAGAGCGGTGAAGAAGTACTGCATTAGAACTAACAGAACTAACCAGTAAATAGATTCCTGTTTTAAATAACATGGTGCCTGGACTCCAATACAAAATGCCAGCATTTTTGGCAGTATCTGAGGGATTTCAGATACTGGTATCGGAATTGAAACAACTCTAGTTTAAATTTTAAAGTATGAAGCTCTGGCTGATTTACAAACCTTCAAGTCTGCCTGGCCAGCAGCCTCTAACTTTGTGTAAGGAAGGTTAAAATTTACCGTAATGGTTTTAGACAAAGAGTTCCTTTTATTCCACATATGTTATGCCATCTGTGTGTAACAGTGTTCATCCATGTCTGGGCCCAAAACGTAAGCAGTAGAAAGAGAAAAAAATGAGTGAAGCAGTTTTCCTCAAGGATGTTAGAGAGTCAGCTGTTGGGCCATACACATGATCTGGTTCAGATGTACCACCAATATACTTTTAGCTTTTCTTATCTATATTTGCTCTTTAATCATAGAGACGCTTAACATTTATACCGGTAAAGGGAAATTTCAAATATTTTGAGCAGTCAGTGGTGTAAGAAAAAAAGGCTTCCCTTCTTACTTTTTAAACTGTGTGTAAAAAATCCCACTGTTTACATATTTTTGATTTATTAAACTCAAAACCTGTTTGTCCAATGAGATAAAAAAGATACCAAGTAACATGTGACCATCTCTAAAACCTACACCAGCTTCCTGGGAAAAAAGAGCCAGACAGTATTTAGTAACTCTTCCACATATTTCAAACTTAAGCTGAAAGCATTTTTACAAAAGATGTAACTAAATATTAATGCAATAAAGATGCTCCAGAAGAGACTTCTGGAGAAAACAAGAGGAACATTTTTTGGAGAAAACTAAATAAAGAGATTTGGTTATGTCTTACAGTAGATGCGACTTAAAATGGGGAGTGGTGGCCTAGTGGTTAGAGCATTGCCCTTGGGTCTTGGAGGTTTTGAGTTCAAGTCCCTCTCATTCCCACAGCCTCCACTCTGGCTCCCTGAGCAAGACCCTTAACCCCTTGTTGCTCCCGGGGTGCTGCACAGTGGAAGCCCACTGCTCCCCAAAGGGATGGGTTAAATACAGAGGTTGACTTTCCCCATTGTGGGAAGTAAAACATTTAACCCAAATATTGACATATTCCCCAAATTCCATGACATTAATTTCTTAATAACATTAGATCAAAATATTTTTTTTCTGTTTTAGGGTGGTTTGGATTAGCTATATTGGTAAATCTGTTAATACAAATGTGAGACCGTGGCTCAATCTGAATTGGGCAAATTTATAAGGAAACTTAAGCACATGTGTGCGAGCTGTAGGCCTGATATTTGCCCAAGTAGTGCTTGCAGGAAGGGGGCAGAAAGGAAGAGGAAGCAGGATGCTTCCTATCAATAGTTCATTTAGCACAAGGGGCTCATGACATTCCTCTCCTGCACTCAGTACTATAGAGATTTCAGGGGGGGTTTGCGTTCCCATGCATAGAGATGTCTGTGGCATGCACTCACTTAACATAATATTAAAAGTCAACAGCAATAACTCCAATAACAAACGATAATTTCATTCAAAATGTATTTATTAAAAATGCTTAACAATTCCTGTAATGAATGAATAGCACAATGAAAGAAACAATGTTTCATCTAAACATCCCTCACTTAACAATAAAAGTTAACAATAACTCTCAACTCCCAATAACAGATGATGCTCAGCCTCAGCAATGAACGAAATAATGTCTGTTCTGTTGGCTATTGGAAAAAATAAATTAACAAATGAGCTAATTAACAAAAAATACCTCTTGTGTAGCAAAAATTATTCATAATGTACCAAAAACGAACAAACATATCAATAGACTATCTTTACTTTCGGAGTCCAGGTGGCTTTTCAGATCCCTTGCACCTCCATTGGACACCGAGACATATGTGCACAAGGCCTCCCATTTGTCTCGACCCGGACTGAAAGCGGGGAAACTCTTTTGTAAATCGTTGGTAAACATACAGCGTCGTGCGCAGTGCCCTAGCGCCTGTAAATTTAATGGTCCAATTAAGGTAATTTAAAAAATCAGGACATTTCCTCACTTTCAAAAAAAACCCCGGGACAGGATGTGAAATATGGATATGTCCCTGGAAATACGGACGTTTGGTAACCCTACCTAAGGAGAACTTAGATATGCCAATTAACCTAACACTCATGTTTTTGGACTTTGGCAGGAAGCCGGTGTACCCGGAGAGAACCCCTGCATTCTCAGGGAGAACATGCAAACTCGCTCCACTGTGCAGCCCTTAGCTGGGCTCATTTTGCTCCTAAATTCAAACTTGTCCAGAGCCACAAAGTTGTTTTTCTCCTCACTTTCATGGTCTGCAGAAAAAGCTTGTGATGAGACTATATACCTGTTGTGACTCTAAAGTTGGGATTTAGTACAGATGTGTATTTCATAGTAATGCTATTTTTTTGTTGTATTCTATCATGGTTTTGAAAAGACATTCTCACAAGTAGGGCAAACTTGTGTTAACAATATGTAGAATTCACATATATTTAAATGTGGCTGGAGAGATGGATCATATGAAACTGACAGCAAGCATGTCTGAATTATAAATTATTACATTAGCATTTCTTTGATTTGTTTAGTATTGGAATGTAGCACACACTAACAGGTGTCAAGTAACAAAGTATTTGTACTTTGTTACTTGACATGGCTGTACTTAAAGGAATAGTACACCCAAAACATGATTAGCCTTCATTTTCTACTCACCCCCATGCTGAACAACACTCTGGAGTACTTTTTTGATA